AACGTGGACTGTACTTTTTATAGGTTGGAAAGGTGAGGATATTGGATGAGTCCACAAACCATTTAATTAATATGTTCCCTTTTTCTATTTTTTTGAGGTTCATTGATTACTCCTGGTATTATCTAAATCACTTTTTGCTCAATATCTTTTCATGTTAAAAAATTTATGTGTTTGATAAAACAGTGAAATGGAAATATCTTTTGAGAGAAAAAGATTGGCAACAGAACAACAGTGACGACAGTCTATTTCAAGACCAAGTTGAAGCAAGACAATCAGTCGGATATATAAAGATATCCGAGTGCCTCACATGAAAGACTTGAACAAATAAGACTACAATCTAAGAAATGTAAGAGTAAAAGAACTGTTAATTCAACTATTTATTTTGCTCAAGAACTAATTTTGTCTAAATGCAAATAAATATTTTATGTGTATGAATTATTAAAATGACTAAGGGAAGTAATCACTCATAAAATTACTAACTTAAGTTGATTTGGTTCTCTTCCCACTACAGATAGGACAAGAAATATATAAGTAAATACACTGAAAATATATAAATAAATACACATTGATAATTATTACAAGATTTGACTATTAATACCTGTCAAAATTTCATGGTTTTCTTGTTTGAATTTTCTGATGTATTAAAATATTTGATGAATAAATAAGCTCATAGTGAGTTCTAGAAGTACAAATTACCTGTGAAATTATCCCCATTACATTGCTAAATATTTCAACTTAACAGCTTTAACCAAATATTGTAATAACAATGATAAGTATGAATGCAGGTTATTATTTAAAGAATTAAGAAGGTACAAATGAAAAGATTCGAAATTGACAAGCTTTTCCATTTCACTGCAGCATTTGTTAAACACATGAAAGTGTTATCATCTCCTTTATCTTTTTGCTCTTACTTTCTTTGGCTTTATCACTAAAATCAGTGTTTTTGCTCTGTCTTTTCTGTCTTTTCTGTCTTTACTGAAGCTCAAAACAGAATAATCCATTATTTATGAGGTGTGAGCAAGGTATTTCTTGCTTTCACTGAAACACAACTAAGTTTCTGTCTTTACTGTCTTTACTCAAGCTCAAAACAGAATAATCCATTATTTATGAGGTACGAGCAAGGTATTTCTTGCTTTCACTGAAACACAGCTGAGTTTTTGATGTGTCTTTACCCACAATGAAAATGGAATATTCCATTATTTATTAGGTACTGACTAGGCATAGCTTTCTTTTTTTTTTTCTTTGATGGAAACCAGTGTCTCTGTATTTGTTTTTTCCATCTTTATTCAAGATTAAAACAAAATAATCTATTATTTGAGTAATTGGCAGGGTTTAACAGATGAGCTGAGCAATTAACTCAGGAACAATGAGAATTATATTTATTTCCAATATGAAGAATAACATTCAAGTTGCATAATAAAATTTCAAATAATAAAGTCATGAAATTCACATGTTGCATTTGTCATATAAACGTAAGTATATGAGGTTTGATCAAAAAGTATCGGGACTGGTGTTCTAAAAAGAAAACAACACATCATACTATTTACATTATTCGGACTATTATCCTCATCTTTGTCGCCATATCTATTACAATGTTTCAGCCATTGTACACTCCATACACTTCAAGTGGTTGGAATGTTGAACTTAACCATTTATTTCGCTCACTGGGGTGGACTGTTCTAGTTCCACGTACCTTGTCAGTTATCAGTTATCTCCTGTTAATTCCTCTCTCCAAGTTCTTCACCGCCTTAACCAGGTATTGAACTCACTCTTTGGGTCCTATCACTGGATCTAACCAACGCCTTTATCCACTGTGCCATGTGTCCTGGAGAACAGTCTACTCCAGTGAGCAAAATAAAGGGTTCAGTTCAACATTCCATCCACCTGAAGAAGGCTGGAGTGTACAAAGGCTGAAACGTTGTAATAAATATGGCGACAAAGATGAGGACAATAGTCCAAATAATGTAAATAATGTACATAATACCTCATCTCAGAAATATAGACAGATAACAACACATCAATGGCATTTAATCTCCTTCAAAATCATTCCTTTCTGAAGCCGCATTATATCCAGCATCATTTCCGTTGATGGAAATATTCCTGGAAATTTCAAATCAGTTCCATATCACCCAAATAGTTAAAATATACACCTTAAAATCATGTCCGTATATGAGGCACTCCAGATATGAGGGATTCTACTGTATTTGCCTTGCCAGGCTATATAACATTTGAATTTACTTCCCCTTCTTTTTCTTCCCTGCCAACCAAGGCTGAAGAACCCAGTCTGCGCAGCTTTTTAACTGGTTGCCAGAAGGAGAAGTGATGGATTCATACCTTTCCCAAGGTCATTTGTGCCAAAGTGAACTCAACCAGAATTCAAACTTAATTCACCAATTTCTCATTCCAAGACACTAGCCATTACACTAACGTATATAGATTAGCCAATTACTAAACATGTCATATTCATTGAGGGCTTACGGACAAATAATGTTCAAACACCAGTTCTCATATGATCACCAAAGTAAGAAAAGTTAAGCCTGGTCAGTACCCAGATGGGTGACCGCTTGAAAACAACAGGTGCTGTAAGCTTGGATGTGTGGATAATGTAATCGATAATGGCTCTGATTTGGGAATTGGAGAGCTGAGTTTCAATTCCAGTTGGGTTTGTTATGCTCATTTGCATACAAATACCCTTGGGAAAGGTATGAATCCATCTCTTTCCTTTACACCAAATATAGGTTAATAAGTAGAACTTGTGTCAGTAAAAGTCATTATTATTTCTAAAAAGTTTTTACAATCTAAAAATATCTTCTGGCTTTAAATAAACCTGAAAAGGTTGATAAGTCATAAAAAATAATCAATCAAATTCATTGATAACATTATTTTTAAGCTCTCTGAATATAGCCTTATAACACTGAAACACCGGTTCTCATATGATCAGCAAAGTTAAGTATTGTCAAGCCTGGTCATTGCCAAGTCCTGTACTGGAATATGTAACATAGACATAGTTTAAGGTGCATGAAACAACATAAATATATGAAAAGTTCAAACAAAGCACAAAAGTCTTCACATAAAAACACTTCTGTGTGTGTGTGTGTGTGTGTGTGTGTGTATATATATATATATATATATATATATATATAATAATTCTTAATACAAGGTTTGCACATATCTACCTGCAAAAGTCTTGGTAACAAAAACAATATAAATTTTGTACTTATCTGTCTGGTTGTTACAAGTTTGAAATTGTTTGTCTTGTTACTATAACTTCAATGAGCAAAAAGAGGAAGATTGACTTTCCTGCCTAACGATATCTTGTGTGGGTGAGGTGACTGCTTGGGAATATCAGGTGCTGTAAGATTGAATGTGCAGGTTGTGTTATGGATAATGGATCTGAATTGGAAATTGGAGAGCGGAGTTCCAATTCCATTCGATTTCATTATGTTCACTTGTATGCAAAATACCCTTGGAATACGTCTAAATCTAACTTAAGAATTTAATCTGTAACCTTGCAAGAAATTAGATAAAGTTGTATCAACCTTTGAAATATTTGAGAACATTTATGTCCAAAAAATTCCAAGAGTGGTTAAATCTGTTCTTCCCCATCAGTGAATTTTATTTTCTTGGATGTATATGTAGTGATATGGATTGGAAATTGTAGAGCCAAGTTCCAATTCCAGTCAGGTTTATTATGTTCACTTGCATGCAGATGCCTTAGGAATCTGACCTAGGCATTGAACTTGTAACCTTGCAGAAAATTAGATACACTTTACCAACCCTCAAAATATTTGAGCACATTTATGCCTGTTATACCATAATACCTATTCTATTGTAATAGATTCTCCCACAGATAATAAGTAGTAGTAGCAGTGGCCAGTTGAGCTCAGTGGTGTTGAGTGAGTCAGTTGATGTCGGACATTGAAGTATCAACCATCACAACTAGATTGCTGCGTCATTAACTCTTATTTCATGTTCCTAACATTTTGTACGTCGGACCTAATTTAGGACCGACTTAGTGAAATACAAGCCTCCACTGTGAAAACTACTCTACAACAACGTCCTAAAAAATACCTAGGTCATTAAATTTTTAACATCAAATCTGTTTCATTTTTCATCAATGGCTTTTACTTGCTGTTGAAATCTATGTTGGATAGGAACAAAACACAACACTGAAAAAGACCAAGAATTATCTCTTCAAAATTCTGTTGGAAAAATAAGCAACAAAATCCAGGTAAATTTATCCAAATTAACAATTACAATGAATTTCAGTGATGTTCTCTTTTTGTGTATCGTTTATCTCTGAGCCAGAATTGAAAGTTAAGAGAAACAACAATTAAATTAGATTCTGGGTGTGGACAAAACAAGACTAGTTTTGTTCAAAATCTTTGTCTGTTGTTCTTTTTGTTTAAGTAGGTAGATATACTTGGTGAAGAAACAAATCTCTCATCATGGCCCTGCCTGTTTAAAATGACAATGAAACCTGGTTCAAGCAATTACAACTTCCTACTGACTATCATACAACTTCTCCTTGGCTCTCCTTCTTTCAAGCCTGCTTTACTCTTGATGCAAATACCTCTGTGCTAGAGAATAGAACTCGTACATGTATTTAGACTGCTTGATCTGTGCATATAGCTGTAACTGATAAGAACAATCCTCACAGCTGTAGACAGCATCCCAAGTACTCACCTGAAGTGACAATACAGCAGAATTAAAAGGATGAACAATCCAAAAACATGTCAGTTTTTATCTAAGATCCAAACTGACAGGTTCCATCATTCTTGTGGTGATAAAGCAAGAATTAGCCAATGGGGTAGAGTAGTGAGATTTTCTTGATAATGTCGAATGGTCTGAAATCAGGGTTGGTTAAATTACTGATTGTATGTACAGCTTTGCATTGCTTGGTGGTGCTGTGTGCTCAAGAATTGACATGCTGAAATAATGCATTCTGGGATAGAGATAATTATCTGAAGAAGAAGTTGAAGTAAAAGGAGAGAAGAATTTTAAGGAATAGATAGAAAGAAAGTACTTTGAGAAAGGAGAAGATAATAGAAAGAAAAAAAGGACAAAAGAAAGAAAGAAAAAAAGGAAGAAAAGAAATGGAAAGGAAAGATATAGAAAAGTGTGATTAAATTAAAGACAGAAGCAAAGAAAAAAATGAAGAGAAAGAAAGAAATAGTCCCAATATTTAAAATTCTAGAAGGAAAGAAGGTGGAAAGATTTTCTGTGGCTTTGGAATTTGTGAGAAAAGAATGAAAAAAAAAAAAAAAAGAAAAAGAATGAAAGAAGATAAAAATTGTTTTAATGATTGGAATGAAGTGAGAAAAAAAATTCGAGAATTAAGAAAGAAAAAATCACAGAATAATGAATGAATGAATGAATGAAAGATAGGAGGAAGAAAGAAAGAAAAGAAAGAATGAATGAATGACCAGAGAAAGACAGAATGAATAAATGATAAGAGAAAAAGAAAATTACTGGAGAAAGAAATAGAAAGTATCATATAAAAGAAAGAAAAAGTTTCAGAGAGAAAAAAATGAATCACAAAAGAAAGACAAAATAAATGAATGATAATGGATAAAAAAAGAAAGAAATTATAAGAGAAAGAAAGTATTGCAGGAAAAAGAAAGACTCATATCAGAAAGAAAAAAAATGAGAGGTCACAGAATGAAGAAAGAACACAGGAGAATGAATGAGAGGAGAAAGAAAGAATGAATAACAGAAGAAAGATAACAAATGATAAAGAGAAAGAAAAAAAAAAGGAAGTATTACAGGAGAAAGAAAAGAAAAAACAAAGAATTGTATGAGAAAGAAAGGAAGATTTACAGGATTATGAATAAATGACTGTAGAAAGAAAGAAAGAATGAATGAATGAACGATAGGAGAAAGAAAGGAAGAAAATATGATAGGAGAGAGAATGGAAGAACAATATCACAGGAGAAAGAAAAAGAAAAACAAAGAATTGTTTGAAGAAGAAAGAAAGAAATCTCAGGATGATGAATAAATGAAAAACAGTAGAAAGAATGTATGAATGACAGGAGAAAGAAAAGAAGAAAATATCACAGAAGAAAGAATCGTGTGAGAATGAAAGAAAGAAAAATGAAACAATGAATGAATGACAGGAGAAAGAAAAAAACAATCAAAAGAAAGAAAGAAACAAAGTGAAAGACGTGAGAATGAAAGTAAGAAAATATTACAGGAGAAAGAAAAAAAAAAGAATCATATGTGAAAGAAAGAAAGAAACTATCATAGGATAAGGGAAAAAGAAAAAGAAAAAATATCACAAGAAAAGAGAAAGAAAGAATCTTATAAGAAAGAAAGGAAGAAAATATTACAGTAGAAAGAAAAAGAATCATGTGAGAAAGAAAGAAACAATGAATGAATGACAGGAGAATGAAAGGAAGAAAATATTACAGAAGAATGAAAAAAAGAATCAGGAGAAAAAGAAAGAAAGAATGAATGCCAGAAGAAAGAAAAAAAGAATCATATGTGAAAGAAATTATCATAGGAAAAAGAAAAAGAAAGAATTCTATGAGAAAGAAAGAAAGAAAGGATGAATGCCAGAAGAAAGAAAAAAAGAATCATATGTGAAAGAAATTATCATAGGAAAAAGAAAAAGAAAGAATTCTATGAGAAAGAAAGAAACAAAGAATGAATGCCAGAAGAAAGAAAAAAAGAATCATATGTGAAAGAAATTATCATAGGAAAAAGAAAGAATTCTATGAGAAAGAAAGAAAGAATGAATGCCAGAAGAAAGAAGAAAAGAATCATATGTGAAAGAAATTATCATAGGAAAAAGAAAAAGAAAAAATTCTATGAGAAAGAAAGAAACAAAGAATGAATGCCAGAAGAAAGAAAAAAAGAATCATATGTGAAAGAAATTATCATAGGAAAAAGAAAAAGAAAAAATTCTATGAGAAAGAAAGAAACAAAGAATGAATGCCAGAAGAAGAAAAAAAAAGAATCATATGTGAAAGAAATTATCATAGGAAAAAGAAAAATTATGAGAAAGAAAGAAAGAATGAATGCCAGAAGAAAGAAGAAAAGAAAGAAAGAAATTATCATAGGAAAAAAGAAAAAGAAAGAAATGAGAAAGAAAGAAAGAATGAATGCCAGAAGAAAGAAAAAAGAATCATATGTGAAAGAAATTATCATAGGAAAAAAGAAAAGAAAGAATTCTATGAGAAAGAAAGAAACAAAGAATGAATGCCAGAAGAAAGAAAAAAAAGAATCATATGTGAAAGAAATTATCATAGGAAAAAGAAAGAATTCTATGAGAAAGAAAGAAAGAAAGAATGAATGCCAGAAGAAAGAAAAAAATCATATGTGAAAGAAATAGGAAAAAAGAAAGAATTCTATGAGGAAAAAAAATGAAAAAGAAAAAGAAAAAATCATATGAAAGAAATTATCAAAGAAAACAAAAGAATGAATGCCAGAAGAAAAAAAAAGAAATGAGAAAGAAAGAACAAAAAATGAATGCCAGAAAAAGAAATTATGTGAATGAAATTAAAAAGAAAAAAGAAAGAATTCTATGAGAAAGAAAGAAACAAAGAATGAATGCCAGAAGAAAGAAAAAAAGAATCATATGTGAAAGAAATTATCATAGGAAAAAGAAAGAATTCTATGAGAAAGAAAGAAAGAAAGAATGAATGCCAGAAGAAAGAAAAAAAGAATCATATGTGAAAGAAATTATCAGGAAAAGAAAAGAAAGAATTCTATGAGAAAGAAAGAAAGAAAAAAGAATGAATGCCAGAAGAAAAAAAAAAGAAGAAAGAAGAAAAAAAAAAAGAATATATGAGAAAGAAAGAAATAAAAAATTATCAGAAATTATCATAGGAAAAAAAAGAAAGAATTCTATGAGAAAGAAAGAAAGAAAGAATGCCAGAAGAAAGAAAAAAAAGAAATATGTGAAAGAAATTATCTATGAGAGAAAGAAAGAAACAAAAGAATGAATGCCAGAAGAAAAAAAAAGAATCATATGGAATGAAATTATCATAGGAAAAAAGAAAAAGAAAGAATTCTATGAGAAAGAAAGAAACAAAGAATGAATGCCAGAAGAAAGAAAAAAAGAATCATATGAAAGAAATTATCATAGGAAAAGAAAAATTATGAGAAAGAAAGAAAGAAAGAATGAATGCCAGAAGAAAGAAAAAAGAATCATATGTGAAAGAAATTATCATAGGAAAAAGAAAGAATTCTAAAGAAAGAAAGAAAGAATGAATGCCAGAAGAAAGAAGAAAAGAATCATATGTGAAAGAAATTATCATAGGAAAAAGAAAAGAAAGAATTCTATGAAAAGAAAAAACAAAAAATGAATGCCAGAAGAAAGAAAAAAAGAATCATAAATGAAAACAAAGAAAAAGAAAGAATTCTATGAGAAAGAAAAAAGAAAAAAAATGAATCATATGTGAAAAAAAAAGAATCATATGTGAAAGAAAATCATAGGAAAAAGAAAGAATTCTATGAGAAAGAAAGAAAGAAAGAAAGAATGAATGCCAGAAGAAAGAAAAAAAGAATCATATGTGAAAGAAATTATCATAGGAAAAAGAAAAAGAAAGAATTCTATGAGAAAGAAAGAAAGAAAGAATGAATGCCAGAAGAAAGAAAAAAAGAATCATATGTGAAAGAAATTATCATAGGAAAAAGAAAAAGAAAGAATTCTATGAGAAAGAAAGAAACAAAGAATGAATGCCAGAAGAAAGAAAAGAAAGAAATTAAAAAGAATCTATGAGAAAGAAAGAAAGAAAAAGAATGCCAGAAGAAAGAAAAAAAGAATCATAGAAAGAAAAAAGGAAAAAGAAAAGAAAGAATTCTATGAGAAAGAAAGAAACAAAGAATGAATGCCAGAAGAAAAAAAAAAAAAAGAATCATATGTGAAAGAAATTATCATAGGAAAAAAAGAAAGAATTCTATGAGAAAAGAAAGAAACAAAGAATGAATTCCAGAAGAAAGAAAAAAAGAATCATATGTGAAAGAAATTATCATAGGAAAAAGAAAGAATTCTATGAGAAAGAAAGAAAGAAAGAATGAATGCCAGAAGAAAGAAAAAAAGAATCATATGTGAAAGAAATTATCATAGGAAAAAGAAAGAATTCTATGAGAAAGAAAGAAAGAATGAATGCCAGAAGAAAGAAGAAAAGAAATATGTGAAAGAAAACATAGGAAAAAGAAAAAAAAGAAATGAGAAAGAAAGAAACAAAGAATGAATGCCAGAAGAAAGAAAAAAGAATCATATGTGAAAGAAATTATCATAGGAAAAAGAAAAAGAAAGAATTCTATGAGAAAGAAAGAAACAAAGAATGAATGCCAGAAGAAAGAAAAAAAGAATCATATGTGAAAGAAATTATCATAGGAAAAAGAAAAAGAAAGAATTCTATGAGAAAGAAAGAAAGAAAGAATGAATGCCAGAAGAAAGAAAAAAAGAATCATATGTGAAAGAAATTATCATAGGAAAAAGAAAAAGAAAGAATTCTATGAGAAAGAAAGAAACAAAGAATGAATGCCAGAAGAAAGAAAAAAAGAATCATATGTGAAAGAAATTATCATAGGAAAAAGAAAAAGAAAGAATTCTATGAGAAAGAAAGAAAATATTACAAGAGAAAGAAAAAGAATTACAAGAAAAAGGAAGAATGAATGAATGAATGAATATGAATAAAGAAAAGACATCAACTTGGATTGAAATAAAATAAGCCAAATTTTAGGAACACTGAAGAATTTTTCATTTCTTCCCTTCACTATAATGCTTATTTTAATTCTCTGACTGACACACGCACAACTTTTGCCGGAATTTTAAAAAATTGATCTCATCTGTAATGTTCAACTACATATCTGCTAAAAAGAAACAACAGCAAAAAGCTTTGACATGTTGATTGACAGAAATTGCAAAGATTTTAAGTTGTCAGCAGGTATTGCATTGATTTAAATCTAAGAGTGTGAGAGTTTGACTTCCATTGAATGTGAAAAAATCTTCATTTTTAATAATGTCATTGGATGTGAGTGAAACTGATATATATTTTAGCAGTCAACATTGGATTAACTGTAATTAACATAAAAGGATAATTTATCTGAATTATAAAACCAGAACAACAATAATCTCATTTATATAAAATTTCATCCACTACATGGCTCAAAAACCACTAGATAGTAATGATGACTAAAATGCATGATATGTGTATGAAAGAGGTGAGAGGAGATGAAGATTATGAGGATATGGAGGATATATAATGATTGACCTTTGGCTTGAAAATTGAAGAAGGCTGAATGTGGTGAGAATATAAGCAATATAATGTCTAAACTAGTGTTACTCAAACATGGGTAGATTAACTAAAATTGTATAGAAGTTTTTTTGTTTTTTTTTTGGTAACTGTAAAAGAATTGTGTCACAATTCTACCATAATTATGAATGATGGTGAAAAAAACAGGGAATTGTGGGTAGAAAAGTGGCTATATGAGTCAGTGAGAAATTAGTAGGGGTGAAAGACTTGATCTAGTATCAAGCAAACTTTGCGGATGGATGGATGAACGAGTGAATTAATGAACATTCGAATGAATGAATGAATGATCAAATGAACTAATGAATGAATGAATGATCAAATGAACTAATGAATGAATGAATGATCAAATGAACTAATGAATGAATGAATGATCGAATGAACTAATGAATGATCGAATGAACTAATGAATGAATGAATGATCGAATGAACTAATGAATGAATGAATGATTGAATGAACGAATGATCAAATGAACTAATGAATGAATGATCAAATGAACTAATGATCAAATGATCAAATGAACTAATGAATGAATGAATGAATGATCAAATGAACTAATGAATGATCAAATGAACTAATGAATGAATGAATGATTGAATGAACTAATGAATCAATCAATCAATCAACAATCAAACAAACGAATGAATTAATGATTGAATGAATGAAATGAACAAACGAATGAAATGAATGATCGGAATGAATGAACCAAGCAGTGTGAAAGAACAACAAAGGAAAATAAGAATCATGTGGACAAGGAAAGGATACCTGTTAACAAATATACTTTTGTGGTTTTTTCTGCATTAGGTGAAAAAAGGTCTTTCTCCTTCATGGTTTAAACAACTCCCTGAATGATAACTTTTTAAAATTCTAGATGTGATCTCAGATACAGATTTCACAACTCTTGTATCATTCCAGAAACTACCTAATGCCATGCTCTATCTTTACAAAAGTTAAATCTGACCAAGAATAGAGTATTAATGCCACATTTGCCAGTCTTCACTGTCCAGCCTCTGAGAGGATTCAGAAAGAGTTGGATGAGTCTAATGATGTTTGCAAAGGTAAGGCAGCTCAAAAATGTCACTCT